CAACAACACACAACAAAATTTGAGCTTATATGGCAAGAAAACTAGGCGGCCTCAAAGAAGAAATTTGGTCGGTTGACCCGGGAACGAGCACTAAGGGAACGGCTATCCTGATTCCCAAATCCTCCCACCTATATGTAGCAGGCTCGGTCGTCGACAAGAAAGCTGACCTCACTGAAGGAAGATGGTGTATGCTACAACTGAGATGGAAGGAAGAGGAATTCCTACTCTTCAATATCTATGCCCCCAACTCTTCAACCGAAAGAACGTCTTTCCTTAGACAAATTGGTGACCTGATTCCCCCACTCACCCCATGTATTCTAGCTGGAGATTGGAATGCTACAATAGATCCTTTAGTGGACCGTATCTCTCGATCCTCCACCATCCCAAACTTATCAGAATCAACTCCAATCCAGGAAATGATGCTCAACCACAATTTGGCAGACCCCCATAGAATTCTGCACCCCAACAAGAGAACCTTCACCTTAGTCAAGAAGAACCATGCCAACCATATGGCCTTTTCACGTATCGACTACTTCCTAGTGTCCGAAGTCTTGATGGGGGCAGTCAAGGAAGCCGAAGTATTACCACTGGCGCCTTATTCTGGGCTGGATCACAAACCTATTGAACTAGTCATATCCTTTGACCAAGTGGTGTCAAAGGGAGCCAGCTTCCACAAACTCAACAACTCTCTTCTGCTGAGTAGAACCTTCCAAAATGAAATTTGTGACTGCTGGCAAGGGTTGAGGTAGGTACGCCTTAGCACTACTCCTCGATGGGAATGGTTCCAGAAGAGCTACTCGACCCTTTCAGACACCGTGGCCAAAGTGTCTAGGAAGCTAGCTTCGATAAGAAAACAAAGAAAGCAGTCCCTAGAATTTGCTCTGAAACTAGTTGAATCTAACTTGTCAAACAACCCCGCCTCTCAACTTTATATCGAAATCTTCAACAAGGCTCGAGAGGAATTGGCCTTGTGGAAATGGTGGGATCTGAGAGACCTCCAAATAAGAGCAAGAATGTGCGAATATGAACTAAGCGAGTCAATGACTAAACACTTCTTTGCCCAAATTAGAAGGCCTGAGGTCGCTCACGGCTCCCGAAACGATGAAGACAGATAGTGAAGGGATGCTTGAGATAGCCAATAAGTTCTATAGGGAACTATACCAATCCAAGACGGACACACCAATACCCATCAACATCAGAGAAGCAAGGCAAAAGATGCTACAATACCTTGAGCGAACAATTTCACCTAAACAAGCTGAAACGCTCGACAAACCCTTCACATCAGATGAAATACTTCGGGCTCTACAAAGTATGAACAATAATAAGACCCCAGGAATCGACGGCTTAACAAAAGAATTATGGGAAAAATTATGGCCTTTGCTAGGTAATGATTTAATGAACTTCTATAATGACAGTTGGTCCCAGGGGGGGCTGGGCAATCTTCTTAGCAGCAGCGTGATCACGCTACTCTACAAAAAGGGCGAAAAAGACGACATTAGAAACTACAGGCCCATATCATTGCTAACCCTCCCATATAAGATCTTGGCCAAGACCTTATCGAACCGGATTATCAAGATTACCAATCAATGTTTCCATATTGATCAAACAAGATTCATCCCGGGTCGTTATATCCTAGACAATGTTATGACACTGAATGAGTCTGTAAGAAAAATCAGAGAAAGGAAAATAAATGCCGCCATTCTCTTCTTTGACTTTGAGAAAGCATACGACCAAGTCAACTGGGACTTTATGGAAGCAAGCATGGAAAGAATGGGAGTCGGACCGAACTTCAGAAAATGGGTCAGGATACTCTACAAGGACGCAGTTGGCTGTGTCCAAGTCAATGGACTGTTGTCAGATTGCTATCCGATTTCTCGCTCGGTCTGTCAAGGGGACCCTTTAGCTCCATCAATCTTCCTATTCGTAATGGAGGCAATCGCATCCTTCCTGCGCAAGGATCCTTCAATCCAGAGACTGGCCAGCACCGATGTAGGATCGGCCTACCAGATGGATTTCCCCGCAGCCATCATGTTCGTCGACGATCTAACAGTTCTAATCAGAGCATCAGACTCATCCTTCAGAACACTAGCTAAAGCAATGGAGGCATTCAGATTAGCCTCATAAATGAAGATCAATTGGGGGAAAACAATTGGCTGGTGGCTCTCCGATGACGAACCCCTCTCTCTTCAAGGAGATGAGGCGGTAATGACATGGCAAACACCGGACACACCCACACGCTATCTAGGTATCCTGATGACTAAAGAAGGACTGGCTCCCCGGCTATGCTGTCCAAACAGATTAACAAAATCGGAAGGTGGGGCAATACCTTTACTTCCCTTATAGGCCGAGCACTGGTTCTCAATACGTCGGTCTTCTCAATGATGTGGTATATTGCCTCTATATGGACAGTTCCTGACAGCTCGATTAAGGAGCTGAACAGACGGGCCAGGATTTACCTTTGGACAGGAGACCCCAACAAAGACAAGTGCATATCTAAGATAGCCTGGCAATACATCACAAGAAGACCACGCGAAGGAGGCCTAGGAATCATTGACCCCGGAACAGAAACGAAAGCTCTGCAAATTAAATGGATCATCAAACTGCTGATGAATCCGGACAGCGCCTGGAATAACTTGGCACTGGATAGTATCAGATCGGTAGCTCCGGTTCCCTCCCCGAACGACATGTCAGGCCTATTTTGGGTAATGAACAAAGAGTGGGTGATTTCCACAGGAAGGAGGAACCGTACGAGGAACAGCGGACCTGAAGACCATCGGCCGCCCACCCCCTACTGGCCGGCATTGCTTCGATCATGGAGGAAAATAATCCCTAACAAGATAAACAAACCTAAATCTAAAGACGAAGTACTAAGACAACCGCTCTTCGGAAATGATTGGCTGACAAACGAAGCCGACAACCCTCTTTTTCTGGAACAAAAATGGCTATCATGGATCAAGAATGGTATCTGGAAAGTAGACCACTTGTGGATGGAGGAGAGAAAAGACTGGATAACAGAACAAGAAGTTAGTACCCGCCTGAAAGGCTGCCACAAACGAGAGACCAATCTCCAATACATACTCAATTGTATTCCGCAAGAATGGAAAGAGATCCTGGTAAAGGACGAGTGCTGGAGACTGGGCGAATGGGGTCTTTTGATTCAAGACACACCCCCTACTAGAGCTTTCCAATTCTCTCACATGCAGCAAGGCTCACACACCAAAGCCAGTTTTCTCTCCTTCCCGGTCTCCTTCACCAAGATGGTCAGGCCAGCTATTTTCAACGACAATGTAGAATCAGTTATATTGGACTCTTTCCTCCTAAGAAAAGTAAGGGTCCTAGGTTCATGGCCAAAGGAAATTTTCAGACCGGATACGGCAGTCCGATCCCTGGAATTTGACCCAGCGGAGTGTGCCTGGAAGCCAAATGCCACTAGCAATTTCAAAACAAAAATCCCGATCCAGGACTACTCAGTTAAACTCGGATACAGATTCTCTGAAGACTAGAAATCCTGACCCAATCATCAAAAACAGATGGCGGAACCTCGTGGGTCAAGAAGCAGACAAAATCACACGAATACATTGGGAAAAGTTCAAACGCATCAAACCAATCAAGATCAGAAGCTTGCAATGGCTGATCGTATACGCAGCCCTGCCGGTGAATCAATGGCTACACATTAGACGGAAAACCACAGACCCAGACAGTTCAGAACTATGTGCAGTCTGTACTGAAGGCTCGATAGAAGATATAGTCCACTGCCTAGTCCTCTGTAAAGAAGCATCCGAATATTGGGCGAGAGCGTCTTTACTCTGGGATTCCCTCTTCTCATCCCCCCTCCCCAAACAACCCATTCAACTGCTCCTCTTGACTAACATCCCTGATCAGGCTCGGAAGGCTGAGAGGACCTGGTTTGAACTCATCAGAAAGGTAATCCTATGGGTCATATGGAAGGAGAGATGCAGCCAAACAATTGAAGGACTCTCCAACCCACGGGAGAAAGTATGGATAGAAACTAAAATAATGATTCAAGCCGAGATCCTGTGCAGATGGCGAAAGATCAAGCGCGCCTGGCCCGAAGACGAAGAACAGCGGAACAAGGAGAGGCAGAGATTCTACAGGAACTGGCTAGCGGAGGGCAAGATTGGAGAACTGCGACAGGACCTGTTATGCTGGAAACAATGGCATAATTCAAATCCAGAAAGGGATCCCCAACATCAGACGTCGCCGGAAGGCTTAAACATCTCTTAGGCTGCAAGAGKTCARAACATGACCCAGGGGGTGCAGACGACRTGGTAAAGGAGCTCAAGCCTGACATCTCCGGAGCATCTACAGGGGTCGCCAAGGAGGATCCCATCTCGGAGATCCGGAAGCTTACTAACACCTACCAAGACTTAATTCGGACGATTTTGATGATAAGATTGCAGACTGAGGGTGTAGGTCCCACTAGCAACCGTTGACCGGCCAAAGGGGGGGCGAAATGACTTTTGGGAAGGACCAGGGGGGGAAAAGCCAACGGGTGTGTTCCTTCTAGGGTCTACTGATCGATCTGACAGATCTGCATTCCAGAGCTGAGAGGAAAAGTGGGACAAGGAGAGCTGACAGTCTAATGATAACGACCGACCGTCCAAAGGGGGGGCAAAGTGGCTTAAGGAATGGACCAGGTTGGGTAAGGTCAACAGAGGGGTTCTTTCTAGGATCTATTGCTTTATCTGACAGATCTGGACTCCGGATCTGAGAGGAAAGAGAGGGACAGGGCAAGCTGA